AGAGAGAGAGAGAGAGAGAGAGAGAGAGAGAGAGAGCGGAGCAAGGAAAGAAGAGGGAAAGAGGAAAAGAGCGAAAATACAAAGAGAGGGGAGGGAATCCGCGAATTTATGTTTGTTATGCCATTACGATTGATAATGATTTTGTGTTTCTCCGATTTTTATCGAGCGACAAATATTTGGGATTAGATAGGGTTCAGGCCAAACGATCGTTTCTCTGTCAACCCTGTTCGCACCTCCTCTCTTCCGAAATCGGAAGAAATCTCATCAAGATTTTAAAGTATCGAGTGGAATACGTAAGTAAATTACGCGTGGATAACGTTTGCGACCTCTATAACTCTCTCGGGGGATCTATAAATATCGCGCGAGCTCCTTCCAACAAGTTATGGAACGTATGGATTAGGTCAACACCTATTACCGTATAATGTGAAACAAATGTTAAAACAATGAGAACCGTTAATAAAATCTGTAACGCCCATTTCCATAAACAATTATAAGATCGATCGTTTATCGTTAAGAAAGCAAGAGATTGAAGGAGAGGAGAGGATCGATATTAAGGGGAGAGTTTACGGTTAGGAAGGATGCGAGAAGAGGAGACTTACCGAGTTGCGATTGATGCGTGGGCGTAGGAGCCGGCCTAACCTTGTCCGGGGGACACCTTCTGGTCGCAGCTACGGTGGCAGGTAAGGGTATGCTCGTGGTTCCAGCGCCAGGACCGCCACCTGCACCCCCGACTGCCGACTGCTTGTTGTACGGTGACGGCAATCTGGATGGATCGAAGAAACAGATTTAGAAAGCAACGTCCTTGGGAACTCGTTACTCTTATTATTAACGCTCGAATACCAACGCTCGAACCAAAAACCACTATTTTCTAGTTTTCTAGACGCTCTCTTTTATTTTTATTTTCCATTAGGTGGAGAAGGAAAAGAGTGGTACACTTTAAGTCGAATCGAGTATCGATGGAAAATTTTGAAAAATTATTCAATCGTATACGATGTGCGCGATGTTCTCTCGAGCATTCTATTTTATCCTTCCACGATAACTTTCCTCTTTTCCGAGAACGGTTTATTTTCCAAAGAGTTACTTCTTTTTCGTGTTTTCGAGCGGTCCAAATCGTATGAAAAGCAGCCCACGAAGCGTGGCGTAACGATGAAATTTCATACGGTCGACTCGTCGAAACGGAAATACAGATAAAACCATCCAGTAATTATACCGGTTAATTATCTCTCTCTCTTTTTCTCTGTTTATCAAATAATAATAATCTTGGCCGCATCGCGTAAGAAATAATATCCGAGCGTTCAAACAAAAGGCGCGAGAGCGTGAACGCAGAAATCGAGAGAAATCGAGAAGCGATTAACGATAAACTCGTCAAAGGCGAATGCAAATTCTTGATCTTGATCCGTGTTTAGTTTCGGCAAGCGAGCCGCGATCGGATCGCATACCGAAATCGCGTGCTCCGGCAGAAAAAAAAGCGGAAAGCGAGAGGGCAAACGCGAGAGAAATAAAAGGAAGAAAACTCGACGAGGGCGTTAACGCGCGGGCCAAAGAAAACGCTGGTGAACGAAAACACGAAAGGAGGGAAAGAGAGTCTCGTTGGTGGTCGTTTCAAGCTCGAGCGTACGCGAATTCCTTTTTTCTCTTCGTTCCTTCCTTCTCGTTGCAACGAACGTGGTGCAGCGAAATCGATCCCCGTGACTTTTGTCAATTTGCTATCCGAATGATGTTTTAAAATAATCGAGAAATTAAATAAAATGTTTCTTTTGTGTAATAACATTACGTAGAGAAAAATACGTAGAAAGTTTTAGAAAAACGCATTGATATTTTGAGGACACAAATGTATCTGGAAAAAAATAAAAAAAAAAAAAAAAAGTTGTATTTTAATCAAATTAAACATGGCGAGTCGAAAGAGCGTAATAGATTTTAGAACGACGAATAAATCTGCTCGTGGGAATGAAAATAAGACTGAACGACGTAGCCAAGGGTAAAACCCATGAGACGCGTCACACTCGTGAAACGAAGAAATGCGAGATAACTCGTGAAAACGTGAAATCTACCAAGTAACAATCCTAACCGCGTGTCGCGTCACCGAAGAATGGTAAATATTTGGCTTAAACGATGACGTCGGTATCTGGATACTCGAAGAAGCTCCTCTTTTTTCTCCCGCACGCTTTTGTCGATGAATCAACCAATGAAAGCACCACTTTCCTAGAAACGACCAAGGCTAAGAGAATTATTCTCGTTTTGGGATGTTTTGATCGAAACGTCAGGATACGCGGAATATCTATTCCTGTTTCTTTTTCCCTCGAAACACTCGTTTTAAATAAAACGAGGAGTAAAGATTTTTAATACTTTACAAATCTTGATAAGTGAAATGGTACTATTATTTACGTTTGAATACGGATATGCACGTGTGCCTCTATTTCGCACGTTACAAGCTCCCCCTCGATTATTTTCAAGCCTAAGGGTAAAATGTAGGAACAAGACGCGTTAATGGGCTGACCTCCTTTTACGACTCGAATAAAAATTTTCAGTGGTGCGGTGGTTATAGGCGCATTATAACGCATAAAGAACGTTGAGACGTTTATTGGAGGCGAACTGTACCCGTGCCGATAAGCAAGGCGCATCCTCGTGTTCCCCTTAGGATGTACGAGGATACGAGACTCGTGTCGACTGGACGATATTGATCGTAAGAATTGATACAAGACCGGTTATTCTCTTTAAAAACGAATCATCTACCCACACGCTGCTCGTAGATAAGGTAGAATTGCGAGTACCGAGGAATCGTACGTTTTATTTTTAATATCGAATTAGATGGTTTTAACCGCACGAGTACGAAGGTAAAAAAAAAAAAAAAGAAACGAAACGAAGATAGAAAACGAGTAAATTCTTCTTTCTTTGTTTCTTTGTTTTTAAAGTATATAATCTTTATCCTCTATTTTTATCCGCTGACGCGAAATTTATTTTTCTCTCGTTTCGCTATTCGCTCGAAGAGAATAAGATTGCAGACTTATATTTTCCGCGGCGTTTAAAATACTTACTCCTGTACTACCTAGTTAATGGTGTCTACCTATATCCGAGAAAGAATAATTACACCTTTCATTTCGCGTAAAAATTTTCCAAAGAAATTTATTTACCGGTTTTTATATACCTACTTGTACAAGTAGGTATATAAATTAAATTCTTTATTTTCTCTTCACCGTCGTAATTATTATTTAACGGATACGACGCAATTTTTTCTTTTGCAATTATAGATTCGTTCAAACGGATATTTTTCAAATTTAGTAATTTAGAGGAAATATCGTTCCACCTAAGAATGGTTTTTTTCAAATATACCAATCCGTATGCCACGGAAGAGAAATGGTGGTCCATAAAAATTTACGAGCTATTCTCCTTTGTCGATTCGTTCGTTCGCGCAGCGGCGTGTGAGATTCGTCCGAGTCGTGGTGATATATCGATGGTAATAGATCGTAGGATAAAAAAAAAAGAAAAAGAAAAAAATTGAAATATTTTCCTGCGACGATACATTGACGTCGCGGGAAAGAAAAAAGCGTTTCAATCTTAGGAAGAAACCTGCCACTAGAGAGAACGTTTCAGCGATATTTACGAGGGTAATATCAGGAATTAATGTCCTCGGTCGGTGTTGCGAACAGCAGCGCCATCGGTATCACGTTTTGCAATTTCTGTCGACTTCTCTGCAACCAGCCGACATATTAATATGGCAAGATATGACGTGCTTTGACTGTAAACACCGTCTTTACGACGCCTTTGTCCCTCGTTCGTAGGCAAGAGGTGTTTCTTCCAATGGTTGCACGCTATCGAAGATATTATTAAGCTTTGAACACCGAGGATGAGACGTTAAGGGTGTGAAACTTCTAAGCTTACGCTTGTAAAGTACCATCCTTTTTTGCGGGATCCCGTTTCACGGTTCAATGTCGTAAACTTAACGAGATGGAATACCGCTCCCTAAGAGGCTTAAAATCGAGTTTCACGACCAAATTTAACGCGGTTGGGATTCGAGTTTGATCGGAATCTTTTATGGTAAAAATCTTTTCTCCACGATTTTACTTCTTACTTTAATTAATTTTAAATAATTAAATAACAAGACGGCAACGATAATAATTGCATGAATTGTTATTTGTTTCGGTATATCGTTCGAATCGAAATACGAAACAATAATATTGGGTGAATCATTGCACGGTTAAACGAAAGCTATTAATTATAAGGCTTGTTATCGAATCGATGTATCGGTCTTCTAGTTGTACGAGTGTTATTAACTCGAATGATGGATCACGTTGCAAGAATTCCATATGCAAAACGCGTGTTCAGTTACGCACACACGCGTGTTGATTGTGTCGCGTACACTCGTGATACGGACACGTCGTGGAGACAATTAATGCAGACACAGGCATGCAGGTATATATGTACGGCAAAGGGGAAGGAGATTCTGTTAATTACTCAAGCTTCTGGTTTCCATATCCGTTGGGAGGCCCTCCAGGATCGATATCCGATTCCTCCTCCCTGCCATTTCAACCGCACGCTTCCCAAAAGTGATACGATGAATACGATGCGTACGATCGAATCGTCTTCTCGATAATAAAGTTTACATCTAGTACGTATATAGTAGGAATAGAAATATTTAGAATATTACTTTGATAAATTGTTGTTAAAAGCGAATCTATTCGATCGCGCGAATATTATATTGATCGTATCGATTCATTGAGCGGCGAAAAGGATGCACGAAAAAAATATTTTCGTCCCAGATAATATTACAACAATGACCCAACTGATGATAACGGTATCGTAATGACGGTAACGATAGCGTTCTACAGACGAATGACTCTTACCGAGTTCCGGTCTACATAAAATCACCGTTTCCCGCTAACGAGATCGCTTTCATATGTAATAACCTCGCCTAGATTTCCTTAAATCATTCATCGAAATACACGTTTCGAAAAAAAAAAAAAAAAAACAACGTTAAAACGTCCTATCTCTATTTATTCGAAGGATTAAAAAAAATCTAAGCTAATTCGAGTTAGTTTAAAATCGTGTTATCATAAAGAAAAAAGAAAAAAAAAATCACGAGAAATATTCTCCTTGGCAAGAAAGGTAGTGTTTCGAGATAATCCACAGAGATCGAATAGAGCGAGGTTATGGTTGGTCGTAAAAAGAAAAAAAAAATCAAGATCGTTAGCTCGTTAACGGCGATAAATAACAGAGTTGGACGGTGGAGTAACGCGTAAAATTACGGTTTTACCTGAACGAGACGAGAACGATCGTCTGGAGAGGCGTAGCCGAGTCGTGAGGCGAGTTCGTGAAAGCGCGAGCGACGCGGCGCGCGACCCCACCTCGGGACCCGGATCGCGTGTCTTCGTGGCTAGATCTAATTGGCCGGACGATCGGGAAAAAAATTGGCGCGGACCGAAGCCGCTAAGTTTCGAAGCAATTAGAAGGAATGTCGCCGGGTGGCGTGGTGTCGATAGGGATCTCTACCTTTTTACCTAACCCCGTGTACACACGGTTGAGCACAAGTGCCGTTACCAACTTCCCCCACTCCACATGCGCTATATCGAACCACGCCGCGTCTGTTTATGCGCATAGTTGTGCATCTCGCGCGGATAACCGTATAGCTAGAAGGTTCGGTCAACCGCGCACGTTTCCTCCAATTGCCCACTAACCAGAGTTGGGTTATTAACACGTTGAAAAAGTAGCTGGTTAAAAACCTCGAATAAAGTTACTTTAAGTAATCGCTTGTTAAAATATTCGAAT